TGCATTTCGTTAATTATCTATCACATGAACGTCTTTATTAATAGAAAGTTCGACACCAGATTTTAATTTCGAGGAAAATTCTGTGAAAATTTAAAATAATTTTGTCTGGATAACAAGAATAGTCGTGGAATTCTTATTTCTCTCCCGTAAGATTAATACAGGAGTGTCGTCTTTCGGGGAAGATGCTTCTCTGAATGGGCATATCTTACTAATAATATGATGAAAGGAAGTATCTTCTGTAAAAGGGCTTCGCCTTTAAACTCTTCTGTTGTAGGGCCAAGATATTTTTTCTGATAAAGATGTTCCTTTAAACACATCTCTTCCTAGCAGGCCATCTTTTAAAGTGCCCATTAAAGAAAGGCTCAATATAAAGCATCTCTTCATAACTTTTTTATTAAGCTTCTTTAAACTCTTGTTAAAGAGCCTCTCTTCTTAATATGTTTTCTATTTAAAAAATCCATTAAAAATGCTCTTTTACACTCATCCATTATAGATATTTAGCATCTTTCTCGATAAAATGCTCCATTAAAGCGGCATCTATTCTCTAGGGCAACTCCCCCGGAAGTAAAAATATATCGTGATTTTTCAGGAAATTTTACATCTAACGTAGTCTATATCGGGGCATCTCTCCTGCTGGAAAGCTTCCCGCAGTAATCTCTTATATATAATAACAGCACCAAACATAAAGAAAACAAGAATGTAGGTCATTAGTACATTCTTAAGCATTAAAGAGCGTCACTTTACGTGTCGGTCGCTTTTATAAATTCACGTCTGCGACACAGATGTAATTAAAGTTTACCCTGGAGAACTCGGAAATAGCAGCAGAAAGTCAATGGTTCCTTTCAGAAATTTGCATGCGTAATAATGATAATTATAGATTTTAACACACCCGAAATCAAAGACTTGTCTACAATAACTTAACCCATAGCCTCGAGGAATTGGAGTGAGATTAAATGTTATTGTTCTGAGGAAAATTAATCTGGGGATGACGCTTCTCGAATAAAAATAAGTCGGGTCACCAGCAAAAATGTTGAATTAAAATATAAAAATAATTCCAGAACGACATTTCACTTTCAAATATCCGCTTTTCCTGTGAGGAACGGAAAAGATTGAAGAATATGTCGATCGGAAAATTTATAAAATGACCTCCAAGTAATGGAACTCACTCGATGCAATGGATCCTACCCGATTCTCATATTCTTTACTTAAGATTTTAACATATTTTTACAATTTAAAAATTGCGGAAATCCTACAGCAGATGGGTGGCTCACGAATAGATAAATCGTGTATAAAATAATATTTCGACCATAACGCGAGTGCTGCTCTCCCTCGTAAAGAACGGAACTAATCAATTTTCTTGGAAATTAAAGCTTTTTCCATAAACTTACACAAGTTAAATATAATGCACTTGCTGCAGATTAGATGTATTTTAAATAAACATGAACCTTTATAGAAATCTAAATTCCGCACGTTATTCTAGGAATTGCACTCTCTATACTCGACAGCGGCATTGTTCTAATGCATTAATGTTATTTTTCGAGCTTTTCTATTGTGTTTTTACATTTTATATCTAGATTCATTAACTTAACTTGGAATTATTCACAGAAAATCGAATGATCCACTTACATTTGCAGTATTCTTCAACGTGGATCATGTTAAGAATCTGTGCAAATGGCGTACATAAGAATATACTATATAAACAGAAGAATTGTGGCATAAACTAGTTAAATAACGTGTAAATGATAAAGAGTTGTCGATATTGCGAGGCATGATAGAAAACATGAATAACTTTTGGAGCAATTAAGAAGACGGAATTATCCCGTTTTATAAGGATTAATCGATAGAAAATTTTAGGGGCCCGATTACATATAAAATAAAAACAAAGCTACAGTTTAGGGTCTCTTATTACAACAGATCTAGCTAGGTATAAACCATACAGCACTCTGTAATCCAGGCCTTTTGAGGGGTACCTGTTGGCTTGTAGTTCCCTATAATTAAGTTTCGTCACAAGACCCGTACTGTCTCTTATACAGCACGTGTCTTGTGTCCCTTATAGCTAAGACCACAAATTTAAATCCAGCCTGACGGGAGGATTAAAATTTATATCAATATAATATAATAAACACAGGAAATTCAATAGATCTTAAATTAAAATAAAACACATATTAATTTCATTGTTTATTGCCATCGGTGGTACTTTACTGACGTCACAGAGCGTCTCAAATTCACTTACACGTGGTGGCTTTCTTCCAGGTGATTCTATAGATAAATTCGAAAAAAGTGGTAATAACATGTGGAAAGATCGTTCAGTAACAAGATAAATAAGCACGTTCGTTTTAATATTATTCGATTGGTTGCACTTACACGGAAGGCTGATCATCAACAATTCAAGCAATTATCAACCATTAATAATCATCAACCGACCGTCAGTTAATGATAATTAATCATCAAAATATCGAAGTTTGCTCGAATTGTCGATGATTAATATTTATTATGCCACAGAATTGACGTCGAGGTATATAAACTTACATAGAGAATTTTAGTATTTAAGAGACACTTTATAGAAAATATTAAACAGAAATAACTTAATAGCTTAATTATGTTAGTGACTCGAAAAATGCCTTGTTAAGTTAATGGCTTCAAAATGTTTTGTTTACTTTTAATGTGTAAGTTATGTTGTGTGATATACCGATTTTTATATGACCCGAATCGAATTTCAACCATTTCGTGAGAAATTTAGAATGTAAGAATATGAATTTAGCATTAAAACGTTCGTTATAAGCACGTTATGATGCGTGCTGATTCTTAAAACTATCCATTACCGGAAACGGAAGTTATTGACATTTTTTCTACAGCTCGCGTCGCGTCGCGTCTCATTTACGCGTCGAAGCGCGTCGCCTTCTAACATGTCTTAAAACACGGTGTAAGTTCGAAGCACTAGCTTTTTTTTTATAGTTTATTATATGATTATACTGATGCAAAACATAAAATAACTTTAGAAATGATCTAAAGCCGAGCCGATGTTTGAATAAGCTAAAACAGTTCCATCTTTCTCTCTGCACTTAACACCTGTTTCAAATTTGCGAGTAAACACCTTTTTTAATTACAGGGGTGATAGATTCTTGTAAGCATTCCAAAGATATGTTAAACAGTTTTTCAGCACATTAATAAGTAGGCATAAGCTATATAATTATGCCATTTCGAAGAGATAATGAAGGGTCGATTACGCCTAATTTTATGAGGGTGCTGATTATTTTTTCTGCTGTATCCTTAATGTGCAGGTGCAAAATGTTCTGATTTACCTCTAATGAATGATAATGCTGGTGGCAAAGATCACCCAGGGAGAGAGACAGAGGAAATCTTCAGAAGAAGATTATCGAACATATGGGATGTTCATCCTAATCACCTGCCTTTAGTATCTACAGTGTGTCTGGTATATTCTACACAAATAATGCACATGTCGTGTTTTACTCTAGATATGAAGGATTTACTTTATTAAATTAAACAGTCTGTAGACATATTAATCTTCTGCTTAGTCACGAGATTCTTTATGTCTCCTCTCGTCTTAACCTTTTAAAAATTTTACAGCCACCTTTTCTATAGCAACACGACTTCCTCAAATAAATGGAAATTTTAAACGAATGCACCTTTTAATTTAAATTAATAGCTTATATTTATGAATGAAAGGTCATCGTGACCCCTTTTAGTGTTCGAACTTTAATAATTAGTAACTTAAAATTTACTTATGTATACTCGAATTTAATTGTCACATATGTAAGCTGTTATTTATCTAAGAAATTTATTAAATAATAAATTCTTAGAATTAAAGTTGTTTTTCTTGTATAAAAGTATTAGAATGGTAAACAAATCTAAACGAATTTCTGAAATTTACTTTGTTTAACGTCACTTGCTTTTGTTTGTCCTTCTTTATATTTTGTTCTTATGTAAATTAACGAAAGATAAGCGAATGATTTCGTGTTATAAAACTTTCTTCTCGGTTTACATAATATATTTATGTAATGAATTATTCCTAAATATTGCTCCTGTAAGTTGTTTCACTGAAAGTAGGAGGCTGGACTGAAAGGAAAGGAGTTTCTCGTGAAAAATATTCGCTACCTGATGATGCTTTTTGAACATATTCGATAAACAATACTCCTTACGTCATACTAATAACAACCTTCTGTACAGATTTTAAAAGCTAGGAAGTTATTTAGAGACTATTTTTGATCGTAGCTCATCTGCAGTGCGGGAAAAAGTCATTCACTATACTTGTATCCGTCTGCTACGCTCAAAAGAAAGGAAAATTGTCTTTTATACCAAAAATTCCTTTTAAAATATACTATAATACTATGATTTTGCCTCCAGATCATCCACGTCACAAAAGTCCCCTTCCAGTTCCTGCATTTGCCTTTCATATCGTACATATAAAGCAGAATTCCTAATGGAAAAGTCCCTAAAAATTTAACCTGAAATACGTACCGAAGCTTAAACGTAGTATGATTTAACGGTAAACACGTCACAGAGTGATTATACACGTCACACGTGGGCAGGTGTAAATTTATATTGTTTCTTTTTCCTGCAAAGAGCAACAGAATTTCCGCCTCGTATTCCGACAATAATATTTGTTTCGGTAACAGAATTATATTTATTTATATCTATTTTGGTTTGGATGGAGGATGTACGAAGTACTCTTTACCCGTATTTACATTTTCAGCTACCTTTGTCATTCGGAAAATACGGGGAAAGTTACTAGAAAGATTCTTTAATTCCTAAACTTGTGGGATTTATTATATACATTTGAGCAATGGAAACTATCAACGTAATCCTGAAAAGTCGATATTTTCTTCTCGATAAATCGCTTTGACGTGTCGCGCCGATCGCAACGCCGACGCGACGAAATTTAACGTGGCGGAAGCCGGATGGCGTAGATTCGCCCACGCTTTCAGACGAAGTTAAATATCCTCCCAGAATAAATTAAAATTAATTGTCACACACAGCAGCTCATCAGACGTAAGTTTTGCTTGGTTTTCTTCGGTCTGGAAGACCCGCTTTCTCGCTTTACTGTTACTATTCGAGTCACGCGACATTCGCGCTGACGTCGAGAAGTTACGACGCGACTTGGGCATTCTGAACATTTTTTGTTAAAATTAGAAAAAAAGAATCTGCAAGCGTAAGTCATTTCTAGAAAAAGAAAGAAGCGACTTTCCTTTTTCCGGAGGAAGCGTGTATAGTCTGTACCCAGAAGCAGAGCTTCCTTCTGTTAAACTTAAAGAATTGCTCTTGGAATTAGTTTAGACAGGTGCGTAACAGTGGCGAAGAGAAAAGGTGCTTGAACTCGAAGTTACGTGTTATCTACTTAATCAGAAGCGTAGTAAGGAGTTTCGACCCGATTAAGGGCCCATTTATAAACGTTGTTTCGAAGATAAGCGGTGTTTTTTTTAGACATATAAAGTATTCGATATGTTTCGTCGGGCCGCCGCCATCTTAATTGAGTAAGCGCTTAGGCAAAGTAAGATCGGTTTACAGCCTGTTCGGACTTGTGGTGTGTTTCTAATCATTACCACCTTTCAATTTGACTAAAGCTTTAATTAATTAACAAAAGAATTTTAGAAATACTCGAGCGGTAAATTAAAAAGTTCAGTTTGTAGGAAAGTGGCTCTGTTGTTCGTGTAGGGAGCGGATTAAGCGGTTCTTTCTCTTCATCCCCTCTTTCTTCTCGAACAATCGAAACGTAGAGAATCATTTTGACCGCCAGACGGAATCTCATTATGTAAAGAGAAGGGTTCGATTGGTCAGCGGCTTTCTTCTTCCAGATCCACCCACGCTCGACCTTTATAAACTTCGCGCCTGCGGCCGTGACCCTATTGACTCGACGCACCGTCATGTCGGCCGCTCGGACGTCCAAATCTACGCTCCTGCTGCTGTGCGTTATCCTGGTGACGCGCCTGCCTTCTCCTCACGCATATAAATTTTGTGGCAGGGCCCTCGCCGACATCCTCTCCTTGATCTGCCAGAATAGGGGTGGACTCTATTCTCCCGATTCAGGTAAGTCTCGTTTTTTCCCCAATTTTCTCGCGGTTTTTAAAAATGCCACGTGACGTTTAATGTGTAGCTTTACGTGATGCTATTTGCTTCTATATTAAAGCATTGTCGGCGCGTGCATTATTGTCGGCGTTTCTCTTTATACGAGCACTCGAGTTTTCATCTGCCTAATTTAACCCATCGCCGCCAAAACTGTGCTTTCGAGTGGCAAATTTTGGTACAGATAAGAGCCATTATCTACCCCACCATCTAAGACTCGTTCCTTATCAGATCCATTTCAACAGGGCCGAAACAGCGTGAGTAACAGGTGACGAGCGATGCCTAACAGCGCTTTCATAGAAGCGTAACAGCCTCTTAATTCTGGTAATGCAGAAGATAAATAGCTGCGCGTGACAATCTTTGTCCCAATCTTGATACGAGTGGGCCCCACGAATCTTTGTCCCAATTTCAATCAGTAGGCCCCACGAATCTTACATATGAAAGCTCTATATAATGTGGGGAAATTTTCACTTTTCTTAAAAGTTTAAAATAAAAACGGTACCTATTTTACCGTTACGGGAGGTCGTCAAGGGGGAGGAAATCTGTCAGAGTCTTCTGAACCCTTTACCCTCATTCGGAAGGCGTAGGAGGCTGGCCGGTGGCACGCTCTCCCCTTTAACCTCTTCACCTTCTTTAGAAAAAGAAGGACGGGCCCGGTGCACAATGTATCCCGTTACGACCCACTCCCTCTCTTAACCCCTTCTATAAATTATGTAAAAGCGCGTTTCGAGAGATCCGATTATCCATGGGAGTCCTCCGACCCGTTAGATAATCCCTATAGGAGGATATATAGAGATTTTAATCAGCTTCGGCTCGCGGGCGAGGCCTCACCGGTCCAGGTGGAAGAAGGGCGCTTTACTTCCGGCCAATTACACCAGCATTGATAGGAGCAGCTGTCGAATCGTCCTTTGTATCTAATAGTCGGCTACCCGCGATTGTGCCGCTACAACATGACGTTGTTCAGTTTGGGTGGAAAGATGACGGGGCCTCAATGGTAGTTATAAAGCAGTAAATCTCGAGCCATCTAATACGTTTTAAACGATCGGGTGGTGCCGAGTAATAATTCATTCCACCTCGTTCCCAACGGGTTACAGCCTCCATAATTGCTCGGGTCGTTACGAGTCGCGGCTCGTAAATCACTTTTGAGATCTCCATTTGCGGACGCGTATTCACTCGTGATTCCACCCCGACTTTGCTACATTAAAGCCATAAAACTTAACTTAATCCTTCAGACGTCGACCCTTTCGCGACCGCCAACAATTATGACAATGTTAAATATTGGCGATTTTACAGTCACGCTAGGAATTTTATGCCCTTTCTTACTTAAGGAATTCGTAATGGCGAATATTCAAACGTCATCGATTGTTAAAAATAACGGTCGCCGTAAATGACGTAACAATGCAATTTTTTAAATTTCAATTGAAAGATGTCAGAATTGTCGTTACTAATCGCGATCTTAACTTGATTTCTCGACTTAAATTAAATAATAAAAACGACTCATTCAGATATTCAACTTGATTTAAATATAAATATTAGTCTCATTATATAATAAAAACAATAATGAAAGAGAACGTCTTTGTACTGTCCGAACTCCAACAGGTCAAAGTTCTCAAACTTTAACCCTTCAAAATGCGAGAAAATTAAATTATAAAAAAGAAGAAAATTCTGGAGACGGACTCTAAAATTAAACCTTTATTTATATTAAATAGATGCGGAGATGAAAAAGAACGAGATCTTTTATGAATTGGGATATTACAAATCGAAACGGCGCGGAATAGTGGACGAATGTTGCAAGAAATCTTGCACGTTTGAAACTCTTGCCAGCTATTGCGCTCTGCCTTTTCAAGTCGACAAACCCTCCGAACCTCTCTACAACGGACTGGTGCGTGAAGCTTTGCTACAACTTAGAAAAAACAGGGTAAGAGTTTTTAAAAAATACTTTATAATTCGATTCGCTAAATGAAAACGTTGTTCATTCAATCGATGGTAAGATTTTAAAGAGCAGATTGTCGCCGATTTTGGTAGAGTAGAGAAGAAAAGATCGATCGCTGAGTCTATAGAGTTTGCGTGCGGATCTGTACAAACCTGGCAAAGCAAACACCTGGTCCATTTGGACGAAAAGGTCACCTGTCTTCGCTTTTGTTGTCAATTGATGGTGACGACTATTAGAATGGGTTTGTGGGAAAGATGAAAGGGAATTACGAGAAAATTTGAAAAGATTTCGGGGGCAAAGGATGCCCAAATCTCGCACCTTTCGAGAAATGGCATCATTCCTGAATTCAAGAAAAAAATGGGGGTTTTCCGAAATTATTACGATGGGTTTTGCGGTCTGCTCGGGTTAAAGTAGGTTAAAGTCCTAAACTTCGCAATAATGAAGTTCAAAGCGGAGAAAGGTTTAATTTGGGAGCTTATTAACCTCATTTTTCATAACTTTTAAAATGAAATTATCGATTTATACGACATATTTTTCCTATCGAGATTTAAAATCAGGAGCTATGAAATTGAACTAAAATTTCACCAATGAACTTCGAGTATTGCATCGTAATCTATTTCTTCTACGACACAATCGACGGTAGCCATATTAATTAAGTTGTAATTTATTCAAATATGGTATTCAATGTGCTATTTCGAGCGTTCAAATTCGAACTACAAAAACTACACGAATATCGTTTCGCGTGAACGGTTTAGTAATCACGAATGGAAATTGTGTAGACTAAATATATATGTAAACTTTTTGGAGATCACTTCCTTATGGTTTACAGTTTCGTGTGTCTCCCTCGTCTCTTGAGGGAGACATACGAAACTGTACGTGGAAGAAAATTAGTTTCGTTTAATCGATTGTTAATATGTTTATTTTTTCGAATAGAAATTATTGGAGACTTTCAAAACAGTTCCAAGGACCTTCAAGAAGACCTTTCAACCTACAGAAAAGCCGGAAGTACGCCGAAAAAATCTTGGATTCTTCACTAGAAACAAACCTTTCATCTACGTTCCTCGGAAGTAAAGTGAAGCTGTTCACGTGCCACGGTTTTACATCCGGTTCCTTGTTTTACTTAATATTTTTAAACGAATGTTAAAAAGTGTTTCATGGGAGTCAGACAGCCGACGGATCCATTCCTGTCGAGCCCTGTCCAAAAATTTGTTAACGGATCGTAATTTCCGTCTTTAGTTCTTAGTATATCTCGTTATTTATTGCTCCTTCAGATATATATTTATATATATTGTCATCCAGTTTATCTAGCCCCCGGGCTTGTGCACCGCACTCTCCCTCATTTTGTACAGTACGTTATTAAAGATTTAGAAAAACGGTAATATTTCTTGCCTATATCTTATCCGGAATCCATCTTGAATAATAACGCGTAACGAAACGCGTCGCGACATCATACATTCCACGCGACGTGCGGAATTATAATTATTCGGATGATTTTAAAAAATTCTCTACTTAAAATTAATTATAATAGATAAGCAACAATATATGAAATATAATTTTAGTTTATTTTTCTCTGGAAGTTTTCATTTGTAGTAATAAGAAAATGCGCGTCGCGTCTCCTTTCTCGACGCGCGCTTCGAGAAATTGCGAACGATACTGTTTTCTATGAAATTGTTAGCTTTCGTATACGTTAAAGAGACGATAGTGAGCGGTAGTCGACCTAGTGTAGGTCGCAATCTATATTTATCGTAGGGATAAACTTACCGGTTGATAGATAAATGGAGACATGTTTTCCGGTTCGAACATGGACGACTTATTTAGTTCCTTTCTCGCATTTTTCCCAATTTTGGCAGGATTTTGGGCGTGGAAACGTCTGCTGAGATGGACCATTCTTCCCTTCAATTCGGGTAAGTCTCACAAAACACCTAAAGCATCGCGTCATACCGTCCTCGCTTGTCTATAACGATTTTGACAGTCGCTTCCGCTATCGTTATCAGAAACATCAACAGAATTCGGTCGGAAACGAGGAGCACACCTCAAATTCCTAAACAATTTACTTATACACTACATTCTCCTATTAATGAATTTGTAATGAATTATTTCTCATTCATATTAATCGGATTCTTTAGTGCGTCAATACCGTAGATCGACGCCATATTGGATAACGATTCGAAAAAGGCGGAAACAAAATTTACAATTGCCTCCCTCTCTGGAGGATTAGTGGTCAAATTTTCTCTCCCGGTGGCCGAAATCCGGATTAAGAAAACGTAAAAACGAAACGGGGTGAGTTAGCTCTTGACAGAAGTTCCTCCAAATTCTCTTCATCTCTAGGGAGTCTTTAACAAAGAGCAACGACCACAGCTCGGACCTCGGGACTTTTGAAAGTGGCCCACAGGGTGGAAAAGACCATTCTGAGCTCTTTTGTTGCAATAATGAGAATATGTTGCCCGAATTTTAATCCAGTAATATTTCATGTGGAGACGTTTTAAAATTTTTAAAATATGGAAGAAACAGGAAGTAGAAGAGAAAGGTCAAACTTTCACTTCCGTCGAGCATTTATTTCTTTCCTCCTTCTATTTTTGCATGGTTCTTGTTGCCCAACATGCGATCTAAGAGTGATTGTTTGGACCTTCTTCGATAGGTATGCACGCTGTGACACAGGTTATAAAACACCCTTGTAATCTGCGTCACTTGTTCTGAAGCTGCCACTTCCACAAAAGAATCTTCCGAATCCTTCACCAGTATTTCTCCTGCATAAAAAGCAAAATAAAAAATAAAGATTAAGTCTATTTACTATGTGAGGTTAACTCACAATGATGCCGTTGTGATGGGACTATGACCCCAAAAAAACGTCGCTTCTGATTTAAATTTTAAAATGTTCTTAGCCAATTTTTTACATTTATGCAAATAAAATATTTGATATAAATTCATTTGATTAAAATTCGGATAATTGTTATTAAATTTTGAAATTTTAAAAGTAAAAACATTAAAATTGTGTATAATGCGCTACTACTAACAATTGGCGCCATCTTTTAGCTAAATTGTAAAATACTGTAAAAATATATATTTTTTTTACATTTTTATAATTTAAAATGTTTAAGATGAGTGTATATATATATATATATATCCTAAAAGAGTAATAAATTATATGTAATTGTTTCGAAAAATTTTAAATTATTCTTCATGAAGCCTTCAACTTTAACAGTAGCTAAATGAAAGAAAGAAGCATCACCTTCTTCGCAGCTGACTTGTCTCATGTGAACCAAATCTTTTTTATTTGCTAGAATCATGAGCGGTATCCCTCCCAATCCGAGAGAGTACAGGTGGTCCCTGATGTTTCTCACGTAGTCGAAACTAGAGCGATCCGTGACCGAGTACACTAGCATGTAACCATCTGCCCAATTGATGGTTTCCTCTGTCGGTATTGGATCTTCTTTCTAAAATTAAAAAATAAAAATATCTTTGTAGTTTTTCCTATTTTCTCTTCAGTACATAACAGCAGTTCCGTCAACTACTAATATCTAAAAAACGTAAAAATAAATTACTTCGTCTGTACCATCACGGAAGCCATATTTATAATCAAAGCGCCTGTATTTAATTGTTCTGCTGTTGTGTGTTTGTATATACACGCAAATATTGTCTGTTCGAAACAGATCTTAAAGCAAGTATATTACTCACATTAGGACACGTGTCTAGAATTTCCAAAAGTACGGGATCACCGTCCAAAAGTAACTCGCTCCTGTAAATATTTTCTAGAAGAAATTTAATCACTTTTAGTTATTTCTAACTGCTAAAATAAAACAAATATAAATAAATTTTAAATTTATATTTTAAATATTTAGTTTATTATCTTCCTAAATTAGTTCGATGTAAAACGGAAGAAAGCGCATTGTAAACAATATGGCGGTCAAGAGATAATATCACCACAGCAAAAGGAAATGATACCATTTATGTAACTATTTATACACGTTGAATCATACGGAAGTTCAGGTGCGGAATCACTTGTATAATGAATTTTACTTGAATAAAATGTAAAGTGTCAGGTTAAAACGTAATAATATACCATAATTAATTCATTAGTTATCGCAGCTTATGATCTCGCCCCGTTTTTAAGTATAGAGAACTAAAAAGATCTTAAAATTTTGTTATAAACTAGTTTATAATTGGTAAAGAAAAAGTTGCTGAAAACTAAGGCAAGAAGGTTAATCGTTAATATAGAACGGTAGAATTTAATTAAATTGGATCAGATGGCGACGACAGAGTTACGTTACGATCGATAAAGATTAAAAACTTGTTAGAAAATGCTACCAACAGAAGAAAATGAAACCAGTTTCACTTGTAAACATTGTTTAAAAATAAACATTTTTATATCTTTATATGAAAATCGGGTTTTATGACAATAGAAAATGTAGGTTATTTGTTCCAGAGGAGGGTTATTATCTACATTTCAACTTAGATTTTTCTAAAATAACTGGAATTTTAATATTTTTATGTACTGTATTTATTTTTAGAATAGAACGTTTACTTAATCAAAAAATCGAATTAATTAGTAACTTATTACATAAATTTGATTATGAAATTACAATAACATACCTGTTTGATGGTCGTATTCACCAATGAATCTTTTAGTCAAAAAACGAACAATTAGAGCTAAAAAAATAAATAAATACTTGTTAGTATTTATTATTCGAGGTATGGTTTTCAGTTTAATGCAATAAAACCCCTCACGTTGGTACCTTTATACCTGGACAATCCTATAAATTGAACTCTTAACTGTCACTAGTGAACATCTATAGTAAACATTTTCTCCAAACTGGACACATTTTTAGAGAGAAGTTTATTGTATTAATCTCTATAGGCTTCGAACATAAAAAAAATTACACAATATCATCAAATAACGTGTTAACATAACGAAAAAAATTTACATAAGCTGCACAATCTCTTCGCCGCCATATTAAATATACAGTAAAACAAGAAATCCCTCGTTCTTACACGTTTTAATGATGGTTAGTTCATAAAAATACAGCGTAATTTTAAAATAAAATATTTCCTTCATAAAATCCCCCTTTTTAATTTAAGAAAACACAATACTTTAAATGCATTTTTGTAAAAGTGAACTGATCTTGAGTTATTTTCTATCTATTTAATGCAGTGTTTTCCAACCTATTACTAATAATGGCACTCCCAATTTCGTAATTTTTCATGCGGCATCCCAACTTTTTTAAATCGATGTAGAGTTATTTCGCTTTTCGTACTTTTAGTAATACACGTGTTATGGCGCTGTTCAGTACTATATTTTGGGCACCCTCGGATGTTGTCGTACCCTAGTTGAAAACCGCAGATATTATTAATTAATGGAACAAAATCGATACTATTTGATGCAAATATCAATTTTAATCTATTTACAATCATATTTTATCTCTATAAAAGAATGATAAAAATTTATTCGAGCAGAAAAAGATTATCCAACTTGAAACAAGAATTTGCAGAAGTGATGTTGGAGTGTTTTCCATCCAAATATTTATCATAAAAACGATAAGAATGTGAAATTATATTATATTCAATTACTTAAGAAAACGTTAAATTCTTAATTAGGGAACAGTTTCAAAGAATAAAGTTTCATCGAGCACCGCACTCAAGAGGAAACAATAAGATGACATTCAGAGCCATATTCTTTCCGGAGAGGGAAGATGAGGGATATGCCCTTTTCCGCCTTGAATTTCCCTTTAATATTAGTCTTTATATTTTGTAAGTTTTTATAGGCTGTCTACAAAACATTACCCTTAAACTTATTAGCTATATCCCCCTGAGGATGATATCTGTGAAGGCATCAAGGGGTAATTCGTTGTGAATGACCCTTGCTGTTTTGAATTCCCAATACTATCGAAGGAAATTTGTTATTTCTGTATTTAAGTCACTTTTCTGAGTAAATCATTTTACATTTCTAACTCGAAATTTGTTTACAGGTGCTTCAGTCATTAGTTGCAAAGTACAAATTGTTTTGGTTTCTAAGTAATAATGGCATAAATCTATCTAAAGTGGGAAGTAGTTCAAAGGTTTTCCACAGAAAACGGTCATTGGATATATTTATGAGCCCTCAATAATTATGGGAACTCGGTAGAAATGTTTATGAGCCATCAAGGGAACCACATATCGCTCGAGGTGTGGTATTTTGATGAAACCCTTTATTTTAGTTCCATTTCTTACTCATTGTTAAAATTTTAATTAAAAAAAAATTATATAAATAATTTTATTTTATAATATTTACTAAAGTAATAATAATTTAGCAGAGTAATTTAAATTTCTAATTTAATTTTATATTATCTTTTTATTATGACAATAGATGGCAGCAGCACTTTAAACGAATTTTTTTTATTTTTTCATTTAACATAAATAACTGATATTATAAATATTTAATTATTTAGTTTTATTACTTGAAAATTAATAATTTATTATCCTTTTAAAATAATATTTTAGTTTATTTATGCAATGAGTGGTCGCACTATATAAATATAGGAAAATAAATTCACTATTTTAATATTATTTACTTATTACGTGTAAATAATAAATCAACTGAATCATCATTGATTATATAATAAGAAGTTTCAAGTTTACTTTATTTTGAATTTATAATTTCCTTGTTACGTAACTAGATGTAAGATGGAATCCGATTGGTCTTAACATATTGGTCTCAACACTAGCTTTTCTGTTAAAATAACTGTTTTTACTTATTTATTATTTAATACAGTAATATTAATAAACTTTTTATGAAGTATTATGCGAAAATTTAAATAGACATATATTATATTCGAATCAACCAATGAACGTACTCGTTACAATTCGATTCATTTTAATAGTTCCGTATTAGATTAAAAGACATTATTTGTATCATAAATAATGCGTTTTAAACTGAATTATTTTTTTCATTATAATTATTGTTATTTAACAAATAATTTAACACAAAAATTATTTAAAAACAATTGACATTTTTCTTTGAATATTTTTTTTAATTTGTATGAAAATACCTTTAATTTTTGCTTTAAAATTTGATTTAAAATTTAATTTAAAATTTGATTCTGGACAGTCCTAGATACAAAGGGAGAGCTTATAGGGCTGTGCCAAATATCCCTACAAATTGAGAAAGGAGCCAGTTACTAGAATGGATCGGAAGAGCCTGTGTCAAATAGTCCTATAAATTGAAAAGAAAACCGATGACTAGATAGGAGGCTAGTAAGGCCATTTGGCACAGATCCTATAAACAGAAAAGAGAGCCAGTAAATGAAAATGAGGCCAATAAGGCCATTTAATACAAGCCATATTGTCTTTTATTTTAGGGGCCCTGGATATAAAAAGCCCTAAAATGTAACTTTTTAAATAAAAACCACAACATTAAAGTCGATATAAACTAGAATATATTTTGTTACATAAAGGGAAAAAATTAACTCATCTTATTCCCAACATTTATCAGGCTCACCTTTAGGTCTTTCGATCCTTCCAATTTTTTTCATTTTATCAACAGTCTTTAAGAAATATTTTTTCTATCAACTCTCTTTTAATATTATAGGCTATAAGCATGTATGCAACATCCTCTTCCTAAATTTATTCGAGTGAAAAAATATATAAACGCATTCGACTTTCATCGACCCCTAAGGGGTCAATACCAATCTTGTTGGGAACACTGCTCTAGATATCTAAACTCTTTCTACGTAATTTTCCAATTGTCATATCAACCTACAGACAAACAGACGAACAAAATGCTAACATAAGTTACTTTTTCATCGCTAAAAATATTTGTTTAACATAAATTCGTATCGAATATTGTTTTTGGACACTTTTCAATGTAAAAGGATACAAGTGTTGTTTTTATATCGCTTATTAGTACTTAAATCACGTTCGTAATTTTGTTTTTAAATTATAAATTAATTTCTTTAATTGTCATAAAAACGTAATTAAAGCGATATGACGTCAATTTGGATAGAATTTGGAGTTTTTTTATTATTGATATTCCTGTTGACATCCGTAGTAAACTGTTAAGTTTCGAAGTGAACCATCTGGATATTTGGTTCTATATATAACGAGTTCACTTAACGCATTTATCGCTCGTTTGTTTGTAGAGTTTCGTGTAACTTTTATTTTAATAACAATAATAACAACAATAATTACAGCCATATTCAGCAGATAATTTGACGCTCCAACCGATTTTTGTTTAAAATTTGCGAAACTAAATGTAGCGTGGGCATTTAATTTATACTAATCAGGTAAATTTTAGCGATGGTGTTTCTTCGTTTATAAAGCAAACATTACAAAAGTTGTAAGGTTATTTTAAATTTATTAAGAAAATATAATTAATAGAAAGTTTAATCAAGTTTTACTTAAAGGTTTTAATTAAACTAATTTTCTAACAATTTTAAATGCATATTTAATTTACTAACTGGTTTATAAATGAAACCATGCTTATTAAACCACCTAACGGCATTTTCCGGAATTAATTTAAAAGATTCCAATTAAATAAATTGGTAAAGTATATGAAAATATTACCACTTGATTATGGGACAGATCGGCACTTACCACTTTTTCCTACTCCTTCGGAACCGAAAACGGCGATTTTAATTTCGGAAATTGTGGATTTTCTTCTTCTTATCCCTCGAATGGCAACGTTATTAGCCGACATGTCCGGTCGATGAGATACAAAACTAGGACCATACTATCGCTTCTTATATAAGTTAAGAATAGTAATAAAGTGCGGAGATTCACTGCACGCATGCGTTCATCCAAAAAAGAAGTCTTTCCTATTTTAGAAATCGATAAGTAATGTCTGGTATATATCTCCCGTCCACATCGTTACTCACGCTGAGAGACACTTCAACTTTTTTGTTTATACAGATAATAAAGTTTAATTATAGAATATTCAATCCGAAACGCATTCCAGCATGGCAATCTTTTCTATTATAAGCATTTTAATGCCGAGTTCCTTAAATGCATTATAAATTTTTGTTAATTGTATTACATAAAACGCATCCGTAATTAGTTTACCAATGATTTACTTAAAATCGATATGTAAGATACAGTTCTTGAAGTAAAGCAGGCTTTTTTTTAGATCATCCTCATTAACACGCAATTTCAACTCATTCCGTTCAACAAATAATAATTAATACTTTATTATTTTGTCAAACGAATACTTAAGCTAATTTTAATTGTAAATATAATTTTATAACCTATTTATTAAGGAAAACTTTCGTCGAAAAAAATGGAGATTCAGAGTTTTTCTTTGTTCTAGAGTCGGAAACTGTATAATAAAATTTTTAATGCTATTTCTTGATTTAAACCTTTTTTTTCCAACTATTGGGAAATTTTATGTCGTTACGATCCAGAAGAAAAAAATGACCTGAGACAAATTTTTATGTAAAATGGGACGAGGTAACAACTTATTACAGTTTTTGATCTACTTTACATAAACTACTGAAAGTTCTGTAATATTTTTAAATTTAAAAAAAATTTTAACATTTATAACATTTTCTTGAATTTTTTCGGAGCTGAATTTGTCCTCATCCACGCGAAGATATTCAGAACGTTTGATTCACGCTCTAATGCTAATTAGATATAGCCTACCTGCAAATTCTTTCTGCCAACGAAAATAATTCACTAAATCTAATTTTAAAATAAATAAATAACGTTGAAATAACTAATCCGGCAATAAAATTAAATATTTATACATAAGATTTACCGGTAATTTGCGGTTTTAAATTATGTTTTAGTTATCAGTTTGAAAAAAAAAAAAAATTAAAACGAAGTCGTTAATCTGGCAACATGACGTGGCGCACTAAAAATTTTCATTGATAGAGTTAAGAAGAAAATAATTACGAACATAATTTAAAATTAATTGTATTAAAATTTTCCTTTTTCCTTTTTATTATTTTTAAAAATAAACGAATTTTTAAAATTTTGCAGAAAATGATATCCCAAAGAGCCCTCAGTCCAAACGAAATGGAATCGACGTTTTAAATGACGTAATGTAAAACCATTTTCTTGAAAAACCATTTTTTGAATCCATTTATAATATAAAATCTATATTCGATATCGTAATAACATTATTATTATCATTTAAAAAAGTCAAGTATCGTTTGGTCAAACTTTACGTCACTTCAGTTTTTAAAAACGAACTGCCAACTCTACTAAAATTTTTAGAATTTATTCGAAGTTTTACACGTAAAGGATTCTAATGTATAATAATTTTATAATTCATTATAATTTATTAGTTAAATTAATAAATTAAACATAAATTAAAACTCCTTGATAATTTATTATTATCATTATTGTTACTTCAATACTTTATTAATGTCGAACATAACTTAAGAAATACGCTAATGAATCCATTTTCTCCAGCCGATGACCTCAAATTTCATAAATTTATACTTTCTTAAATTTGACAGTTATATATTTGCACTCGCAAATTATTTTTAGCGGCTAAAGGCGTTTTAAAAAATATTTTTAGTAGTTAAAAACACATTTAGAGATTAGAAAAACACTTTTTGATTGTCTTTAGACACGCTATCATTTAGAAATTTATGTTTTAGCGATCTAAAAACATCTTACAAAGTAATTTTTATGAGTTAAAAGTGCCTTAAAAACAAACAAACTATTAAAATAGCATTTTTGGATAGTTTTTTCGGGAAAAGATTCTTTAAAAAACGAGTTTTTTTATCGTTTTCATTTTTTTAAAATCGCTCTATATATTTTGGGAAGACATATTTGAATTTTTAAAAATGTTTTTAAATAATAAAAGCGCCACCGTGTTGCCAGATCAATATATTTTTAAAAAAATTTTAAACTGAAAGTTTATATATAAGTTCATTTAAAATTACAAGTTGCTAGCGAATTTTGGCTTATTTTTTTAGAATAAAAATTTAAGAGAAAAAAATATGCATTTTGGTTTTTTTTTTCTTTTTTATTTAAATTTTTTTTTTAATTAAAGAGCGCCTTCTTACGTTGCCAGATCAGTACATTTAAAAAAATTTAAACTAAAATTTAAGATATGATTTAAATACTCGAGCTTCCAGTAAATTTTTATGTCCATTTTAAAGCTCGTATGAAGAAAAATAACTGGATAAGTTATTAAGTTCAACGATTCCATACAAATCGAAGGGAATTTATAAAAAATTAAGACAATAAACCGCGCTCTGTTGGTTATGCAAAATGGCATTTCATTTTTCCGAACATAAAAGAATTTGTAAAAGAGATTTACGAACTTTCCTCGTTAAGGAAGTTATTTCGAAATATTTTTGCGCCACAAGCGCCTTGTTCTGTACAGCGAGTCGGATGTATTTTCCATTGGCTACCATGTCTTAACTTTCTAACATTCTGCTTCTGTTAATTAATACATTTTATAACTTTCTGTGACATGTGGTGCTTTAACCGGCTTTTTTTCAAATCGACAAGTAAGAATAATTATTTATTTATCTTTTATACCCCACAAAACATAATTTTCTCGATAATTTTAAGCTAAAATAGACTCTTAATCCCATTTTTTTTCCACTTGAAAATAGGTGTTTAATATACGCGGATGTTATGATAATGTGAGAAAGTTTACTCGAGTGCTTTTTTTAGAATAGGATAATGGATTTGTTACTCGTTAACACGACAAAGGGGGTATTTTTACAGACTTCCAAGAAAGTCTACGTGTAGATAACTTCAACTATTCGTCTTTCTATAGTTTCAAAGAGTATATTTTTAGCATTTTATATCAAAGGAAACCTCAAAAATTTAAAAAGAAGAAGAAAAAACCTTCGAAACTTGTAGCACAACCGCAATTCGCACCATTCAAGGTTGAGGATTGCAAAGTCTAGCGTCAATTATCCACTCTTTTTTACTACTTCGAAAAGGTTATTCATATCATTTTGTATCGGAAAAACCTTCAAAAATTTAGAAAAAACACTCACAAATTCTGGCTTTTCCTTCTACTCCGCGGGTTACTTAATTAAAATGTTTGCGTAATATTCTTCTTATTGTCGAGTATATGTCAATACCAAGCATTCTATGTAATGGAAAATTTCCATAAAGAATTGTTTTCTAAATACAAAATTATTTTATATGTGGCCTATAGAAGCGAAATGATCTCTTTTCTTTCTTATCATTTTATATAAGAAATTCAAGCAGAAATAAGACTATAATGTCGATAATTGCAAGCAAATTTGAGCGCAATTTTTAAATGTTATATATTTATATTCTAAAAAGGATATCGTCAGTTATCTATTTTAGTTAAGGGGTGTTTATATTTAAAAAGTGAAGATTTTAATGCGATAAATACTCATAGAAAGTTATATTTGTCTATTTTATACATTAATATCATGGAAAATTTGTTTAAAAAATTTATAATTATTCTAAATGTTATGCGTCTTTAATTTTTAAGTTACTTTTTAGTAAATTTTAGCTTGTTAACACAACTTTAATGACGTTTCTAGAGCTTTAAAATTAATGTGTAAATTATGTTTTTCAAAGAATAATTAGAATCAAAAGGAGGAAAAAGTAAAACATTTTAAAAAAATCAACAAAGATCACTCAAAAATTTCACTCTTCTTCTTTTTCCTCACACCTTTTAACTTCGCCACAATTACGAAAATATACCTGTACACCTGGCATACAATTGCCAGTTGGAGCTTATCAAAGAGAAAATAATGAAACAAAGAATACTTCACTGCCAGGTAATTATTCTTCTGTCAATTTAATAAAGATCAGGAAGCGTCGATACGTCCATCATATTCTTAAAAACCGTTGACGTAACCATACGTCATCAGTCCTAGCATACGTCTTCCACCCTCCTCTGAAGTATCCTTGAACTTTGCGAATTGCAAAATGATCTTATAACCATTTTCGATATTTACTTACGATTCGATCGCGTGTAGATTTTGTAAAAAACGTTGGTTTGGGAGTTCTCAGAACGGAGAAATAGTCACCTGTTAAACGAGAGATCGCACGCGGTCGACACGTGAAGAGTCACGCCACTTTACGTATATTATAGTTTGGCTTTTATATTCTTCAGCTGCAAGGACGTACATTGAGGTATCGACAGTCTTTTTTTGCTCTATTTAAGTTATAAATTTGAGCCTTAATTATGTAAAGAGTCTATATCTAAGTTCAAGTTCACGTTCGTTAAACTCTGTATGCATTTTAAGGCTGCTTTATATAAGTATTTACGCCCCTCGTTCCTTAGGTATGTGTAACATTCGATTACTAAGATTTCGTAACATATTTCAGTGTTTGCGATACTGTTTTAGCCTTAATTAGAAAACTGAAAGCATAAAGGTTGCTCGAATGAAATTAAATTATTAAAATTAAGTCGTTACATCGAGTCTAGGTGTTCTGAGAACTTTGAAAGAAGATCGGAAAAAAATTTTAAGTAATAACTCCATAACTTTAACATGTAACAATACCCATACTCTATTGACGCCATTGGGACATCAGTAGGACATTGGTAGATGGAGACGATGTCTTAATGGCATCAATAGGGCATTGGTAGATGGACGAGATTCCTTAATGGTATCAACAGGGTAACTATAGTTAAAAGAAATGCCCAAGGTATTAGTAGGGGTTTGATGTTTGGAAGAGATGTCTGAATGGCATCATTAATGGTTGGAAAAGATCACTAATGGAAAAAGATGTTTTATTTTGTAAACCTTTAGAGATGGCACTCACCTCCTGTGTGCATCCTGTATGTATCCTGTATGAATTATTACTTATATTTATAAATATTTAGTAAATATCAACTGAGAAACACTAATTTTCGAATTATAAAACACATTTATTGTATTTTAACATGAAGGAGATGGCAGTAAAGCTAACAAAGAAGCGGTTATGAAGTAATAAGCCTATTTATAGAAATATTAATAATGCGATGATTACAAAACAATTTGTCGCTTTTAAAATTACAGTAAACAAGTTACATTACGCATTTGTATAGAATAATAAGATTAAAATGTAAATATTCTATAAGAGTATAATAAAAATAAAGATTGATTATAGGCGAAAATATTAATACTTAATCATCAAAGAACATGAAAAGAATGTTAATGATCTTTGCTCAACATAGTTATAGGCCTAGATGTTGATATGAAATTATACAGGATCAACGTCTTCACAAATAAATTAAAGAAGTGTACCTCCTAAGCCATGGTTTTGCATTAGAAGAGCCTTACCTTAAATAATTTTTTTTAGTCTACAGGAATTTTTGAAAAGACTTCCTTAGTGTTTTGGTTTAGGGCCTCAGTAGACGTAAATGTGGCCTTTCTCCAGACCTCAGTTTCTTCATTTTTGTTTGCAGTAACACGTAAAAATCATAGTATATTTGATTAAACTATGAACCATCTGAAGGATTAAGTTTACGTTACGTATGTGAAAATAACACTAAAAGCATTAAAGTATATTTGCCATAAGTGGAAATAATTCGTCCTTATGGACACTCAATTATAGGCTTCCTTCGCAGTGCCTCTTAAGTGTGTTGTATAGGCCTAATAAAATGAGCCCTTTTCCTAAGTATGAATACTTTTAAATAACCGTTCAAGACTGCTGGCAATAAAGTAAATTAGTACCAATTTAATATAAGAATGGCTGATGTTTTCTTTGGTTAAAATTACCATTATAGGGTTTCTTGTGGGTGTTAATCAGGTTATGATAATTTCTGATAGTGGAATATAGCAATGCTCGATAATTACGATGTAAGAATGGATCTAATAATCATGATATACGAAAAAATTTTGATAGTGACAATTAGGACCGACGCCAGGAAAGGAAACTAAAATTTTATTAAACCCGGTACCGGAATCGTTATAATAAAATAAATGTATGCAATTTAAAGTGCATAAGCGAGAAAAAAAAAACAAATGTGATTAATCGAGAAGGTAAAGAAAGGCCCGGAAGTCCTTAGCCCAGGAACCATGATTGCTCTCTAAGGCCTATATGTCCAATATCTCAACATGGAAATATATATACTGTAAACCTATATGATGACGTATGAAGACTTAGGAAGAGTTCTGATGAAAACGTTAATAGAAGTATCAGCGATGGTGATATAGGATCAATACAATGACCATAACTCATGTTAACATTGCTAAATGTCAAAATAACTGTTCACACGGCAAAAAAATAGTAGTAAAGTTATAGAAATTTCTTATCGTAAGATCTGCAAAGTTAAAGAAATCGAGCATGAAATCTATTGGAATCCCTATCGGTAGTGGAATAAAATGAGAACGTGAGAAGTTGACATAAATACTAGCATACAGGAAGTGGCCCGAAGTGTGGTTAGACATGAAAATGCTCCACTTTGTATATTTTTAAATAAGGTAAAAACAAGAGTGTTTGTGATAGGCTACAAATAAACATGGAGAGGTGACGCTTTCATCAATTTTTAGTTAATTCTCTTGCGCTTTTATTAGAAAAATACTTCCTACATTATCGATTCTGACACGGTTTACTTCGCCTTACTGCTACTTTTTTCTCTTTATATGTGATTTTGCGGATAATTCCATATTCGTTGTATTGTTTTAGGCTGTAGACTTTCAGATATTTTGTTTAAATCAATGTTTAATCGTGATTTAAAGAAACGATATCGTCATTTGGCCGACATTTTGGTTTTAGAACGAAGACGCGACGCGATGCGACGATGTGCGCGTCGTAGATGAGTTTTTTTTCTTGTTTTTCTTTTTTTTGTTTTAAAATGAATTTCGAATAATTATCACTCTCGAGCACGAATGAAACTAATTTAGAATACTTCATATTAAATTTACACACGCGAATATGAAAAATTCAAAAAAAAGAGATCGCGCTGCGTATCTTCAAAGCGACAAATTTTGGCGAATAATTAAAAGTTCAAAAACTTATTTTGAGCATAACTGTATTTCCTATATACTTTTATTTTCTATTTCCACGCTTCTGACTTTTATATTATTAAGATTATTATATTTTATTGTTTTAAAATAAAGTTTAACGCGTTAGAAGACTTACCACGCGTGGCGAAGCAACATGGCGACGCGACACGATGCGACGAATAACAGTTACCTAAAAAAGTATGCATAAATCGTTTTAAATTGCTTTTTGATTAATTAAATCAACTTTAGTTAGATTTCAGTAGAGATATCAGGAATTTCCTGTTTATTTTCCTGAGGAAAATCTTTATAAAATATCTTCTATTGATTCAATAACTTATAAATTCGGTCAAGGGAATTTGTATTCCGTCCCGTGGCGAAAGTTGAACTTGAATAGGTTCCTGACGTCACGAAATATATTCAAAGAAAAAGTTTAAAGGACACCTTTCAGTTGGCCGGATTCGCCTAGTATTTGAGGAAAAATAAGAAATAATATTTAATATGAATTAACACAAGAGTTTCCTCATCCAGGTGTTGCGTTATTCAGTGTTTCTTTTATTAGCATGCATTCCGGTAGTTATCTGTTAAATAAAATTTTTTCAGGGTTAAAACCGGAATTAAATAAAGGTGAGTCACTGTAAATTTAAAATTTACGTATTTAATTCTATTATTATTATACAAAATAAAGTGTTTTTTAACTCAGAAAATTATGAGAAAAATCCCTTTAGGAGGGAATTAAATAAGAAAATTTCTTTGTATTTAGAAAAAACTTTTTATGTACACTGTACTCTTGTTTTTTTATAGTACAGGGAAATGCGGAACTTTAAAACTTAAATTTAGTTTTAAAAAGTGTGTACAGCTTTGTTTTAAAGCGGGTTTCTTTAAATTCGCTTTTATAAGGTTTTTAGTGGGTTAGCAAGAAAAATTACCGTTTTTAATGAGGTCAGCGGTATTTTTGCGTGTTTTGAAGAGTAATTTTTACCTAAAAACGCCGATATATGGGTTTTTTTTAAGCATTTCTAAAGTATAAATTTGCATGAAAATGTTCTTACGTAGAGGTTCTTTATGTACGCCTATTAAGAGGAAATCTACTTAAAAATGCTACACACGACTGTTTTCGTGTACTTATTTGTAGTAGAATTACTTTAAAATGTCTATAGAAAAGTATTTATAAAAAAATCTGCTAGGAATAAATAAATTATCCACATTTTCTTGAAAGTGGAATCATGTACAAACTGAGAAAGGAACCCCTTTGCTCTCTAATTCATTGTATTTTCTCTTTAAGAACTTATCATCCCTCTGTATTTTTAATTGATTTATTTTTTCAAATCTTCTCGTATCTCCCCACAGAATATATATTTTAAAAAATATTCGAAGAAAAAATACATTTTACCTCTCTTTTCTTATAATTTTAAGTCTCCACGCTATTACTCAATTAGTTTTATTACAAAAGAAGAATTGAGCAACGTCAGTTTGTCTATCAGTCTGAACTATTTTTAAATCTAGGAAAGTCAATAATGTTTTCGAAGTAGAATATTAAGAAAACCAGAAAATTATTCCCCCTAATTATAATTTAATCAATGTTTTTGAGAAATGTAACCAAGTTACAGTTAATTATCTTTCGTATAAATATGCTTTAAGGCATATTTTCTCCGAGTGTTTTACTTTTAGCTTAACAAAGGCAGGTTTTCGTGTTTGTTCTTGCCATTACGTCTTAAATATTATAGATTTTTTCATAATTTTCATTAATTTTTATGAATGCTACTATCAAAATGGCGGCCATCTTGATTATCCATAATGGATCACTTCAGGGCCGGAATTACAGCTTAGGACCTCACATTAGGAAGGAGCTAGGGCCTCAAGCTTTTAAATTTATTTATTTAGTAGAGAAAGTCCTCTTATATGTCATAATTTAGGGCGACGAGCTTAAATTCGGTTCTGAATCGATTCTATTTTTTGAGGAGTTAAAGCTTCAAAATTTTATAATTTCGAGAATTTTTAATTAAGTTTGACCAATTATATTTGATTTGAATATAATTACAACGAAAAAGAAGTTTTGAATTATAACATATACACTTTTTTGATTTGTCGCCATCTTAAAAAATGGCGGCGAAATAAAATTTACAATTTACAAATAAATCTATTCGAAAAGTGGAAGCTATTCTCTTTTCGAATAGATTTATCAAAATCTGGTTTTTTGTTTTTGGTATATTTTTAATTAGAAGTGGCCAAATCTATTATTCATCTTAAACGAACGGATTTTCATTTCAAAATGGCGGATGTTGGAGTGTTTCTTATTGGTTATAGATGACTTGTACTGTTTATTCTTTAATGATTCTTTTACAATTGTTATATAATGATTGTATTTCTTTATATAAATGTTTACAATTGATTTATTTTCTTTTAATTTTCAAAAAGGTACATTTAAGTAAGAAAAGTTACGAACTCCTTATTTCCTACAAGAATCGATAGGAATTAAAGGATGATTAGAGATATCAGTTAAGGACAAAGAAACAATAGACTATTGTTTATACTATTGTAGATAATGGAAGCTACTGTTGCATAATTTTACATAGAATATATCCTTTTTGCTTTTATTTATTCTCTTTCCTGCTATTGTTTTCAACTGTTAACTTGAAAATGCTCAGCGTAAGTCTGAATTAAAGTATGTGATAAGTAATTAAAGATATAAATATTAAATTACAGTCTCCAATCAAGAAAGCAACATGAGTTCTTCACAAGTTGCTAGTAAAGGACCAGAAAGAAGCATTCCACAAATCGTGTTGACTGATACTACAGAAAATGAAATACAGAATGAGAGGTGAGAGAATTGTATTTTTTAACTGACTAATTTACAAATACAATCAAAATTTCTAGAATTAAGTAACTATATTTGTTTCAGAGAAAAGCCTCACTTCACTATCGACGACAACGACGAAGATTCATCGGAGTGTGGAGCTACTTTATCCACTGCTTACCTTCTCGACGCTAACATGACGACAAACTTGGCTTACAGGACCAAAATAAAGCATAGGACATTCAGGTAAGAGGTCAAACTTGGGCTATTTTAACCTTAGTACAATGCTAAACTATAAGGCCAAGAGTTGTACTGACTGAAAGTTATATAATTAAGCTATATAATTTAACCAAACTAAAGGAAAAATATGTAATTCTTTAGTTAAAGGTCAACAGAAGTTAATCTGTCACATCTCACATCCGTTTTCTTGGCATGAATGCTTTCATATGCTTCTTGAACACGAATATATTCATTTAAATAGTCCTTAGACAATATGTGATGCACTCTTTAACGGATATATTATAAATATGTGTACCATTATCTCGACTTTTTCATAGAGCTGTTAGTTTCGTATGAATGAGTTTATTGTTAATACAAAATTCATCTGTCTTATATGAATTTATGCAACGAAAAATAACAACGTTCAATTTATTTAAAAATATATTCAATGAACAAAACATTGTCATATGTTTCTGCAAGATTCTATAGAATTTCAACAAACCGTTCACAGATGGGTGATCAGTGAATGAGTGCCAAAAATCCAACAGAAAGGAAAACGCTTCCGTAAAGTTCATTGACTTTATGTTTTCAAATATAAATATTTTTCACAATTGACATGATTTATGGATGTTCAAAGTGTTATTACATTAAAAAATGCTATCTCAAATTCAATTTTGGCTTTCTTTACAAGCTCATTGATCATAGTGAAGCAAGTAGTATTTATCATAGAGAAGTAAGACTATCTCGACTTCGTATGTATGTTACGGTTTAGTTTAATAACTATTTTTAAAGTGTGTTTTTGTTATTAAGAATATCTTTTTTAAATTTTTCTCTTTTTCCATTCTGCGCCCAACGGTGACTGAGTGGATAAAACCACTGAACACTAATAGTTAGTCGTGGGTTCATGCTTGACCAACGGGTTGGCCAATTGGAGTTTTCCGAGTTTTCTTCACATTTGTAACACCTAAATAGGGACCAGCTTTCCATAGAAAGTCATCTTGGGATGTATCTTCTTCGGCAGTGCGTCCGCGAGTTGCATTGTCGTATATAAACAAACTTTTCGCCCTGTAGGCACTTGTAATCATACCCATTGTATATTTAGCCAGACTCACAATGGGGGTAGCCGAGTGTTTAGGGACGGAGCTCGACATTTCCGGAACTAACCCATGAAAATTCCTGGGGAATTTATCCCCTGGATTCGATCCCGGGTTTCTCATAGCAACAGGATGATGTGTTGACCACCCGGACATCATCGTCTATTTAAGTTAAACTTACGTTTAATCCTTCAGAAAAAAAGCTCGTAAAATTCATTTTATATAGAAACTGCAGTTGACTCGAAAACAAAGAATTGCTTTGAACAGTGTTCTCTTTGTTATTAAAAATACGGAAATTATTAAATTAACGGAACAAAATATCTCAAATGTTCCTACAAGAGAAAATCAAAATTAGATAGACTGACGTATAAATGACGTTATTGTTTTTGAAAGCGGCAATGACCCGAATGGCAATATTAAGACAGTAATAATATTATATTATATATAAATATCGTGAATATGTGCTAATTGTATGAAACTATTATTATAATTTTCTATCCGACCGTAGCCTAATTTTTATCTTTCAAAATACATAATGTTTTCATTCGATTCTCTTGTCGTCTAACCCAATTTTTTTCTTCGACTTTTATACGATTTTCAGGATCAATTCATGCGTTTGTTTCACATAATTATATGACAAACAAATGAGACTTTCATAAAAAGATATTTTCTGTTTTTTATAAGTACACGATAATTTATTTAATCGAATTCCCACAACTAATTTAAATGTTAAACTGTAATTAACTAGAAACTTTAAATTAAAAAAAAATCAATTTTGGCAGGGGTCGCTAATATCATTAAATAGATTACGATCAATGTTGCCAGTTCAGCTACTTTTATAAAATGTTTTTAAAAAATTACCGGTATTATTATTCGATTTATACTACAATACTACAGAACTGTACAAATAAACTTTATATATTTATATAGAGTATTTACAATGGTGTAGTAGGTCAGTGGAATGAAAAATAATACATAACTTTCTGCATTATTACTGGTTACCTATTACTGTATTCTACTTCCATCCTCTCTCACATCTTTTTCTTCTGTGTTAGTATATAAACAAGAGAAAGGAGATAGCGCTAAATTATTATGGCTTGCGTTACGCACGTTTTATGAGATCATAAGCAATAAAAATATTTCATATTTGAAATGGTTCCTTCGATAAAATACGTTCCGAAATGCATTTGTAAAAAAAAAAGTTCTCAAATATATCAAAAAGCAGTAGGCATAATGTAATTTTATTATTTTTATTGGAAACAAAAATAAGTTAACTTAAACTTTTAAAATTATTAAATTAGGCACTAAGATAATATTTTTTTCCATATCCATCATGAGTTCGGCTAGATCTACAGTTCGAGTGAGGAGAAACGGGACCAAACATATTTGAACTTACCGCCCATGCAAAACTTTTGGGGGTGGTTCGCCCGAATTCGAACCCGGATCCTGCAGAGCAGAAAATTGACGGATTAACCGTTTCGGGCATCCGACCATTTAACTGTAACATATTAATTTAAATGAAATATTTGTGCTCGTTCGTATTTTATTTATTCGTTTAGTTTTATTTCTTTCACATTCTGAGATAATAACGTTTTAATATCAAGTTTTCTTTTTAGAAACAAGAATATCTCCGTCAAACCATCATCTAGTTGATATTTTATCAAATTTTAAAAATATTTTAATGCATAGTAAATAAAATTCGATATCTCCAAGAATAATTCCTTTCTTAATAATAATGATTATTACGAAAAGAAATTACTTATTGAGAATATAGAACTCTTTACTGAAATTTCTTCATGAATAGGTCTTCCTTATTTTTCTGTAGTTGATCGGATAAATCCCTAACTGTCAAGGTTAATTTTGATATCGACTTTACTCGCCAGAGGGCTTTGATTAAATCAAATCGTGCACTCTGGCGGCACGAATTAAGGTCTTCACTATTTTTATAATTTTAAATTATTTTATTGAAAATAGAATAAAATTTTTATGAATTTTTGTAAAGTGATGTGATGCTTGAAATTTATTAAAAACCAAAATCGATGGAAAATTTTTAAATAACATGCAAATTATAGAAAGAATTTAGAATAAACACGCTTTATGATTACGTATAATATTACTAAAATTATTTTAAAAATTATAAAAAGAGCATAAAAAATAATTCATTAAAATTGAGAAAACATAAAAAGAAATACTTATTAAAGATAATTATATAAAGACATTAAAATTTTCTGAAAAAATTAACACTGTTCCGCGCTCAACTGATGATACACTAGTTTAATGGCGTATCGCCATCTAGGGACAATTTTTTGCTTAGATTGCTTAATATGGGCTAGAGATGTTTCTAATAATTAATTTCTTCAGTAGTTATGATCAAATTTGGATATTTCATTTTTAAAATGTTTTAAATTTATTTTTAATTTATAATATTCTTTTGTTGAGCATGAATCTAATTTCTGAATGGAATACTCTACAGTACTGTACTTATAACTCAGTTCTATCCATGCTATACTTCATATTTAGTTAATATTTAATAAATCAAACATGTCTATTTATTTATACGAATTTAAAAATTTTAAATATATAAAAATTTATTTTATTGGATATTTTAAAATGTAACAGTAACAACAGTATAAAGCTGATTACAGTATATTAGATTAGATCTAGATCATGCTCATTAAATTCATTTTAATATAAATGTTTATATATTAAGTAATATTTAATTTAAAAAAATTGGCCTAAATTTTCGAATTTAAATAATAAGTAACTAAATTTATTTTAATAGAGAAGTTGCGGCCGACTTTCACGTTTTAGAGATGAAAACTTCGGCCGCAACCTCGCTATTAATGCATAGCAGAAGGAAAATGAACCATCTTAATTCAAAATGGCGGACATTCGTAGATGTAGAAAACACTCACATTAGCATGACGTGTGAACTATATAATGAAACTGTCACGAATTGACGCACTTTTTTTTTAATCTATTTAAGATCGAAAAGAATGATCTTGACGTTTTACGGTCTAGTTCATTCTCCCATTCTTCTAGGTCATCCATCATTTCTCTCCATTCATATCTTATTGGTCCTTATACATCTACATTGCAATCTATTAATGTAAACATACTTTGCCTCTTTAAAGTTTCTCTTCATACTTTTCAGTTTCGAAATATTGTTTAACATTGATCTCAATTTTGAATTTAGGTTTTTTCGACTCATTTTTAAATGTAGGTTAATGACAGGCCGTTATTATATAATAAATAATAATTATCCTTGCTTATATAATGTAGAGATCCATACTAGAAATCTGAACAGGTATGCAATACACGGTAATGCAGTGTGGCCCAACAAATCTATAATATAAAGGCTGGCCCAAAAATCAGTTAACCATTATAAATCTATATTGATGTCTTATTTAAATACTTAAATATTTAATCGTATTTATTTATTTAAAAAAGCTGGCAGCGTTGTTGATGAACTTTCTCGGCATTCTTTATTTGTTTTCATCTCTAGTAAATGCTACCATTTATCTTTATGATTGATTCGGGAGATATGGGGCGGGGCCATAACTCCCGAACCAATCGTCCGATTTTTCTGAAAATTTGTAAAAACACTTTTCTCTAATACAAAAATCTGCTTGCAAAATTTCAGACATTTTCGACAAAAGGCACAGGAGTTATTAAGCTTCAAAGTGGGTGAAAAAACACGCTAACATCCAATATACATAGAAAAACCCAAATTTTGTATTTCTCGACGTTTCAAGGTTTCCACTCCAATTGGTCAAAAAATGCCATATTTTTCCCTGTTATATAACAACCAGGAAAGTAATTTATGTTTGTATTAATTTTATAATAGAAAAATGCATTATTTTAAACTCGGTTTACGATGATTCGTATTTACAAGTACACAGGAAACAAGCAAATAAAACACAGTTAAGTGAC